GTGGTATAGCATGTCTGAAATTAGCTACCGCCATTACAGACAGTAAGATCTTCACATTGAACTATGTGGTATAGCATGTCTGAAATTAGCTACCGCCATTACAGACAGTAAGATCTTCACATTGAACTATGTGGTATAGCATGTCTGTAGTTAGCTACCGCCATTACAGACAGTAAGATCTTCACATTGAACTATGTGGTATAGCATGTCTGAAATTAGCTACCGCCATTACAGACAGTAAGATCTTCACATTGAACTATGTGGTATAGCATGTCTGAAATTAGCTACCACCATTACAGACAGTAAGATCTTCACATTGAACTATGTGGTATAGCATGTCTGAAATTAGCTACCGCCATTACAGACAGTAAGATCTTCACATTGAACTATGTGGTATAGCATGTCTGAAATTAGCTACCGCCATTACAGACAGTAAGATCTTCACATTGAACTATGTGGTATAGCATGTCTGAAATTAGCTACCGCCATTACAGACAGTAAGATCTTCACATTGAACTATGTGGTATAGCATGTCTGAAATTAGCTACCGCCATTACAGACAGTAAGATCTTCACATTGAACTATGTGGTATAGCATGTCTGAAATTAGCTACCGCCATTACAGACAGTAAGATCTTCACATTGAACTATGTGGTATAGCATGTCTGTAGTTAGCTACCGCCATTACAGACAGTGAGATCTTCACATTGAACTATGTGGTATAGCATGTCTGTAGTTAGGTACTACCATTGTAGACAGTAAGATCTTCACATTGAAATATGTGGTATAGCATGTCTGTAGTTAGCTACCGCCATTACAGACAGTAAGATCTTCACATTGAACTATGTGGTATAGCATGTCTGAAATTAGCTACCGCCATTACAGACAGTAAGATCTTCACATTGAACTATGTGGTATAGCATGTCTGAAATTAGCTACCGCCATTACAGACAGTAAGATCTTCACATTGAACTATGTGGTATAGCATGTCTGAAATTAGAAATTACCGCCATTACAGACAGTAAGATCTTCACATTGAACTATGTGGTATAGCATGTCTGAAATTAGCTACCGCCATTACAGACAGTAAGATCTTCACATTGAACTATGTGGTATAGCATGTCTGAAATTAGCTACCGCCATTACAGACAGTAAGATCTTCACATTGAACTATGTGGTATAGCATGTCTGAAGTTAGCTACCGCCATTACAAACAGGAAGATCTTCACATTGAACTACGCGTTATAGGATGTCTGAAATTAGCAACCGCCATTACACACAGTAAGATCTTCACATTGAACTATGTGGTATAGCATGTCTGAAATTAGCTACCGCCATTACATACAGTAAGATCTTCACATTGAACTATGTGGTATAGCATGTCTGAAATTAGCTACCGCCATTACAGACAATAAGATCTTCACATTGAACTATGTGGTATAGCATGTCTGTAGTTAGCTACTACCATTACAGACAGTAAGATCTTCATATTGAACGATGTGGTATAGCATGTCTGTAGTTAGCTACCACCATTACAGACAGTAAGATCTTCACATTGAACTATGTGGTATAGCATGTCTGTAGTTAGCTACTACCATTACATACAGTATGCGAGGCGACTAACGGGATCGGGTGGTCAAGCTCGCTTACGTGGTTGACACATATCATCATATACCAATAGCGTAGATTGATACTCATACTGTTGTTCACTGGATTGTCTGATCCAGACTTGATTATTTACAGACAGCCGCCATATAACCGGAATATTGCCGAGAGCGGCGTTTAGCAACAAACCAATGTGATACAGCATGTTTGTATACATCTGTGCATATAATAAGCACCACTCTGTATGTTTACCAATCGATTTTGTCTGAAATGAAATTCTAAACTTTTTCCAAAGTTGAAAAGTGAAAGTAATAATTGATTATTGTGTGGCCTATAAATTCGTTATTTATTGTAAATGGATGAAAGTATGTAAACTAAGATTTAGGAAAAGTTACTGTCAAACTAAAACAAGGTAAATTTTAAAATGCAGTAAAAGTTGCTTTACATACAAAACAGACAGATTTTAGCTGTAATTATCAGTATCCGTCAAGGAGAAGTGTTCATTCATTACAATAAACCCCAAATCATAAAAAAAATTATCCCAAAATCTTATTTATGTGGCCTTTTTCAGTATTTGTCAATTAGCAATCTGAATTGTTGGAAAAAGGTCTGAATCTTTGACGTTCGGGTTCTTCCTGATTGTGCATAATTAAAGCTTACTTGGTGTGTAAATGTCGTCTTGGTATGTAACAGAATTTTTATTTTCAAAAATTCAGTCACATCACATTTTCATCAACATATTCTTTCATAAAGAATAGAAAAGGTTACGGCATTTGTAAAATTGTCAGTGGCTAAAACTTCTTTAACTACAGGTTGATTAAATTGATGGCTATACCGTAACTTTTCTGTAGCTTCACATCATATTTTCAAAATACGGTGGTGCTTGATTAATGCTCGGGTGTATATATAGCTACCCTTATTGCAGACTGTATGACTTTGACCATCCACGTCCCTTTAGTATGTCGCCTGTCATTACTCTAGAGCAATACGGATGCAACGTTAGCCGTGCAGTTTGTATAGTGGATAGTTACGTGACAATTGATCATATGTAACACTGTTATAAGATCTCCACCAGCCAGACACCAACCAGGCCACTCAGATCCTTGTGTTCAGGATATTTGTCATATCCTCTTAAGTCAGTGTCTCCTGTCTACACAACGTGGATGAGTCACTTGTGCTCACGCTGACCAACTAATGCCGATAACACTTCCTTGTGTATCCTAGTAAACTGAATTTCAGAGAATTGACTTTATAGAATGACCACGTCTTTCGTATTTCATCTATTAAACGCCTGTTGTAATATTCTAACGCCGTTTCAATACAGAATCCGCACTTCAAGTACTGCGATTGGCTGGTGATTGATAATGACAATATTCTGTCAGTGTCCATGGTCCATAGTATGGTGATCAGCCTTCAGTTGCTGGTGATCTATAACCCGTATTTATATTGTACTGTTGTCTTTTGTGATATATTTTTTTATGATAGCGTACTAGTTCTAAATTAAGAGCTGCGATACTCTAGTAGTTTTACTGTCCTTCGATGACAGATATGTTTGTGTTCTAAAATTATTGATTTTAATATTGATATGAATTAAATTGTTCTCGTCACGACATGGCTGAGATATTGCCGGTGTCATGTTAAATATTAACTCACTCACTCATTCTGCCAATGTACCTTTTTTATTGTATCTTCCTTAATTATCTATGTTTTGCATATAAATATTCTCTTTTGAGTAATGAACCTGAACAAATACACCTCATTTGTGCAAGGATGATAAAAATATATGATTTTAAGCGCACCTCAATAGAGTGCATCGTATTGAAGGTCCCAAGTGGTTTCATTTATAGATATCAAGTCATACTTGAAAGAAACTGTTTTAGTGATTACACGACCTAAAATGCAAACATATAATTTCGTCTTAAATTATTAATGTCGGATAGCGGAATGGTACTGAAGTTACATGATTAACAACTTATTGTTATGAAGCACCATGATTAATGTATAATCTTTGCAGAATTTAAAGTGCGCATGATGTTGTGAGAATCATCGAGGAAGAAGATCGTGCTGATGCTTCTATATTTATCACTCCACCTAATAATGGCGCAGAGCCTGACGAGGGTAGACGAGGGATGATGGGTGAAATATTGATAAAATGACAGGCTGATTTGTAATTCTAAAAGCTTCTAAAAGATCAAGGGGCCGACAGTAAGATCGGGCGATTAAGTCATTACGCCATCCTCCTTTACGAGGACGCTTGGGTATATCTTCCCCCCTGTATAGTGTAATAAAGTTCAATTTTCTCCGGAACTGTTATAGTTGAAGTACGAGGACTTCCTCTTACTTTAACTATAATAGTTCAGAGCAAAAGTGTACTCTATAACTGTACGTACGGGTAGAGCGAACTGTATTCTTAAATATTCTCGAGTGAATTGATCAAATTTACCACGAATTGGCAGAAATTGAATTTATACTTATGTATATATATAGATATATACAAAGAAAGTGATGAGAATACCGAGCGTACAGTAGTACATGTTGGAGAAGATCCGTGTCGTGTGATTATTTCAGAAACTTCTTCTTATATATATATATAAAGAGAGGGATTTAATATGAATTTACAAGGAAGAGGTCACTTATCTTTAAAAAATATAAGTTCACACCTTATTAGGGTGCGGAAACATATTTTGCTATTTCTATAAAAAATACAAATACATTTAAAACAACAATCAATTGTGTTCATAACAATCAAAAGAAATAAACTATATTAGAAAATAGACGATTTATAAAATAGTTTAACCTTTGTGCCAATAATTGAAGGATGCAACATGGTCCTGCAGTACAGGCATAAATACACTTTCGCGAACACCTGGTGTCAGCACTGATTTTCAGGGATCCATTTATATCAATTTTACCGCTATTTAGCCTATTACGCCCAGTGGATTATGTTTGGGCGAAAAGTTGAGATTTGTTATTAACTCGACTTAACGGTCTGTGTTTATGTTATTTACGGTGCAGTATTTCTTCTCTGGTCTTCTGATGAATCGTTAATCTAAAGGGGCAAATATTCTAGACATTTTCGATATCGCCACAAGATTACCATTATGATACTTGCACTACAATGAATGATCAGTCAGATAGCCAAGAGGTTACGAGTTTGATCTTCAGCCCGAAGACTCGGGTTCAATTCCCTACATTTGTGTCCACAGACATTGCTAGGTTTGGTGATAAAAGTGAAATCCATATTCACTTACTCCAGATGCACGGATACCGGTTAATTTGGAAAGTGCTACTCACTTAACATGACAACTTGTGTCAGTTTCAACCAGTCTACACCGGATGAATTACTACTGCAGTCCTGTAATTAAGACTAGAAATAGAAAAGACATTTGAACTTACCCATAAGCTGTGCTTGCGAGGGCTGCAACGACGAAGGTGATTGCTAGCAGGCGTTGTGTGTCGGTCATGATGCAGGCAAGGACACTGAGAGAGGGACGCTGTCTGACAGGCTTTATAGCCCCACGCCTACAAGTCACACAAGGAACTTGTATTATTCAAAAGCGTGATCATTATTATAACTCACATGCAACGTGACTAGATTTGAGTTATTCATTATGATATGTTTGTCCTAAAGTGATACATTGTTAATTAACGCTTCAGATTGCCTCCACGTTTTTGACTGGTATTTTAGATCATCATCATCATCATCATCATCATCATCATCATCGTCGTCGTCGTCGTCGTCGTCGTCGTCGTCGTCGTCGTCATCATTATCGGGCTCTGGGGTAGCCTAGTGGTTAAAGCGTTGGCTCGTCACGCCGAAGACCTGGGTTCGAATCCCCACATGGGTAAATGTGTGAAGCCCATTTCTGGTGTTCCCCTCCGTGATGTTGCTGGAATATTGCTAAAAGCGGCGTAAAACCAAAACTCAGTCAGTCAGTCAGTCATCATCATCATCATCATCATCATCATCATCATCATCATCATCAATTATCTAGTATAGATGGACATGAGGCCACCATCGGTACAACATTTTTAAAACAATTAAACAAAAACATGCATATAAATCTTATTACATCACTAGATATGATTATGGTTTCACGGAGATTTTATGTTTCTATAGCAGTACAGATACTTTTTAAGTAAGATACCAAGTCTTAAGAGTGCATTCTTATCACTTGTTCTCATCAGTTCAATAAACATTTGAACATGAAGTATTATAGTATTATTATATTACAGTATTTAGGTAAATATCTAACTCGATACCCATTGTAAAGAGGACATACTAATGTAACATGCAATTCATCTCCTTGTTCAGTCACACAGGAACTACAAAACGCAGTTTCACAGTTTTTGGAGTGTCTATAGGCATTAAAATTAAATTCATGTACATTACAATGAAATTTTGTCAAACATCTCCATAGATTCACGAACAGCGCAAAGATGCTTTTCGGAAACTTTATGCACGTTTGTGCTCGAAAGTGTCAAAGTGCATTAAAATGTTATGTGCAGTTTTGAGGAACCTTAAACAGGGACACTGACTATATAAGGCATTTTGCTTTTAGACGGTCATTTTTAGCTAAATGAAAATATATCATGATGGTGCGATTCACTGCTGTAAATTGAAATATTGCAATTGGACGTCTGTAGCGTCAATCTGTCGCTGCTCGTCACATCAATTTTCACCAGAGTAGCATCAGTCGTTTATAGGACCGATTCTACGCAGGATCGGCCTCGAAGTGGTATACCTCGGATTACAAATGCACCGCTTGATACAGTGTAGGTACATCCGGGTGCTTCATTAGCGTGGGTCCATATCATACACGCAGAAATCTAACTTTGTGCGTCTTTGGGGCAGTTTAACTTAAGGATTCACGTCTTTCCAGTCATTGACCACAATATGAAGTTGTTCCAAGAAGATAATGCCAGGCCTCACAAACCACATGCCTTTATTCAGTATCTTAAGAATGAGAACACTACAGTGCTTCCATGGCCCGACCTCAAGCTCATCGAGTATTTGTGATGACCTTGACCGAGGTGACGCCGACGTAGACGCAGATCAACTGTCGCAGCTATTCAATATGAATGGACCAGAGTTCCCCATGGTTGAATTCAAAGACGCATTCAACCCATGTTGAGACGGTGCAGAGCAGTTTTGGGGGCTCGTGGTGACCACAACAGATATTGAGAGTGAGTGAGTGAGTTTAGTTTTACGCCGCACTCAGCAATATCCCAGCTATATGGCGGCACAGATATTGACGACAACGTCCAACTGTGAACGTACGCCTTCACTTATTGAACATTTTATAAGCTATATGTGTTATCAGACATTTGATATTTTATACTGTGAAATCTGGCTGCAACTGATCCAGAATTACATGTGTTATCTCACTTTAAAGTTAGCAGATTAAATTCGTGAAAATACACATTTGCGTTTCTTTTCTTTTTTTGGGGAGAGTACACAACATAGACTCGAACAACAACAATCCAATGACAGTAACGACAGCGACAATAGTGACAATGATGGAAGAGATTATACAGTTCCGACGTTTCAGCACGTATACAAATGCTTGAATGACCTGGAAACATGACACCGGTGGCAGTTAGAGCGTGATGCCAAGGGAACCATGAAACATGATACCAGGTGGAAGTTAGAGCATGATTCTAGGAGAGAGCCCCCAAAAAGCACCTGCTGGCAGTTAGAACGTGATGCCAGGGGAGGCATGAAACATGACACCCGGTGGCAACGAGAGCAGGATGCTAGGGGAGGCCTTGAAGCACGACACCTACTGGCATTTAGAGCGAGATGCTAGGAGAGACGTGAAACATGACACTCGGTAGCAGCTAGAGCGTGATTTTAGATGAGACGTGAAACATGACACCCGATGGCGGTTAGAGCTCGCTGCTTGGAGAGGCATTAAACATTACACTCGGTGGGAAATAGAGCGTGAGGCTAGGGGAGCCATAAAACATGACACCCGGTGGCAGATGGAGCGTCATTCTAGACGAGACATGAAGCACGATACTCATTGACACCCGTGTCATTTAGAGCGTAGAAACATGAAACCCGGTGGTAGTATAGCGTGATGCTAGTGATGAACATGTCACCGGTGAAACATGAAACATGACACCCGGTGGCAGTTAGAGCGTGTTTCTAGAAGAGACGTGAAACATGACACCCGACCCGGTGGCAGTTAGAGTGTGATTCTAGGAGAGACATGGAACATGACACCTAGTGGCAGCTGTTTTATCAAGTGAAATCCCCATATGACGCATACGTAGCTGTCGATCGTTACTACAAATGTGCTTCTAAATTGTACTTTTGCTGTTGTAGATAGCATTAACAGCATTCGGGCCACCACGTAGTTTCAGGTTTACATGCTTCCCGGACACGGTAGTGAGTGAGTGAGTGAGTTAATATTTAACGTCACATCGGCAATATTTCAGCCATATCGTGACGAGAAATTTGATATTGAAATGAAATATATGTAGGACACGGTAGAATTTTTGGTAGTGTAAGATGGAGATGGTGGAAGGATGCATTTGACGGAGAGCAATGTGATCAATTGTATAATATTATGGATTCAAAATATGCGTTTATTTTAGATATGTGTTCCTGAGGTTTCTCAGAAACAGTGATTTTAATAAATTTTTATTTTTGGGTTGTTTTGTTTTGTTTGTTTTGTTTTTTTGTTTTTTTTTTAGGGTGGGGGAAGGGGGATGTTCGTGATGAAGTTTAATCATTAATGCTCGTTCCCTCCCTCACACAGCCATGGCCACCCATCCAGCCACCCACCTTCCAAACCTTCCCTCTCTCAGTCACATCCGGGGACTGCGAGGTTACCCACGGTGTACGAATAACATTTGCAGTCTACAATACATTTTCACATAGAATTAGAGCATAAACACACCGTGCGTCATGCCAACACCTTGGTGTAGATTGTTTCGAGATATTTGTATTTCGTATTCCTCGTAAACAGCACGTGACCGTCCCTGATTGAAATGACCCGTGGTGATCCGGGTTAGTATTGGTCTTCATAACGGGAACTTGTGTTTATATGGAAGGCTGGGCGCATTGATCATGATATGGTGGCTGGTTCGGGCCATCGCTTTATCTCGGCGATATCGCGACAAAGCGATAGTACCACACGATATTGCGATATAGCGATACAGCCAAAAAGAAAATAGAGATAACACGACACGATATGGCGAAAGCGCGACACGATATGGCGAAAACGCGACACGATATGGCGATACCTCGATACGACATTGTGATAATACGACACGAAAAGGCGAAACGGCGATATTGCGATAGAGTGATGCGGCGATACTGCGATATGGCGATATAAACAGGCGACACGGCGATATCGCGACATAACGATATAGCGATACTTCGATAAAGCGAATTTGAGATGATGCGAAATGGTTACGCGACATGGCGATAGAGCGATATGACAATAAAGCGATATATTAATCTTTATATGATCAATGTGTGTGTCTGTGGCATGTGCGCATATGTGTGTGAGTGTTATGTGTCCATGTTGTATTTGAATTAGTATCGTATTAGCTTAAGTCAAAAAGCCAAAACTTTCTAGGGATATCATGTAATGATAATATTCGGTGTATGAAAATACATTTTATGCAATGGTAATCTCCTATGCATGCACAGCATGAATATGGTGCTATTGTGTAACTCATCATCCTCATTATTTAAGACCTTAGCAGCTGTTAAACTTCGGCGTCATATCACAACTAATTAACGCACAATGGAACAACGTCCACAAATGGAATCAGTGTGTAGAAAATTACACTAAATGTAAAAATGTTTGACTTATTTACCTGTTTTCTTTAAATGGTCATTACAAACATGTCACTTGGCTGATTTTATTTAATTTTAATACATACAATACAAAGCTAAAGTTTGCGTTTATCTCAGATACTTCCAGCTGTCTTATTATCAGATCCTTAGAATGAAGGACACTCATCTGCCATTTATCTGTATACGCTGAAAGTATATCCAGTTGATTTTGAAGACCAATTACAGAACTGGACAAGAATCAACAAATATTAACATGAAAAGTTCGATTAGATCGGGAGAAAGTTGGATGCCATGTTTACCAGACAAAGGAGAAATGTAGAGGGCTTAAAACACATCCTTGACGTAGACAGAAAAGGCAGAAGAAACAGACACTTACACCATTGCCACAACGGACACATGATTTTACATTGAAATACAGGGATCTTATGGCACCATACATTTTACCTCTATCTACAGAATCAAACGCCTTTGTGAAATCTACAAAAGCTACATACACATTTCGCGTGCATGAAGCACAAATATCTCTCAATGGCAGCATACAAGGTAAATATATGATCTAATGTTGAGTAGTCCTTTCTGAACCCTGTTTGAGATTCCGGTATTAAATCTCTCATATTCGACCATAGTGTTAACCAACTGTTGATACTAGATGTACAGGTTTTACCGAGAATACTAGTCAGCGAAATACCCCTATAATTGTCAGGATGCTGCGGATTTCCGTTTTTATATAATGGGATGATAATCGACTGCGCCCAGACGGAAGAAAAACGACCTGTATCAGATAGCCGATTAAACATTTTTACCAGGAAGGGCATGATGTCAAGTAATGAGTATATCAGCATTTCTGAAATAACACAATCAACTGAAGCAGATTTACCAACTTCAGGACGAGATACAGCATCCAATATATCATATTCCGTAATAGGTGATTCCAGCAGAACCCTATCAACATCATTAAACTCTTGACTGAGCACATCATTGTCACAATCTAATGATGAGGTTGCTAAGCAATGGTAAAGCATAGGGGAAGTTATATAAATTAGGTGCAGTTAATCTGCATATTATAGATAAGAGGACCAAGTAAGAAAAGAAAAAGGGTTAACTTGGGTGGCTTGGGGTTGGGTTGAGGTTGGGAAGGGAGCAGTGAAGGCAGTGACACAGGAGCCTTAGGGCGGTGTACATGTAGGTATGTGGAGAAGCGTGGAGTATAGAGGGAGAGCTGAGTTGTTTACATTTGACAAAGCGCCTTCAACTATCCCATTCAATATATACAGACGACAAACATAACACAAATCCAATAAAATGCGTCCAAATCTATTAATAGTACAGTCATGTGACGCCCGCTGCTCGACAGAGGCATTGTCTTCGTCAATATATACATCATCATGACCAAAATCTACACTTTGCTCAAAGATTGGATTATATGGATCTAATCTATTAAAACTCCACCTTTTCAGTATCAGTCAAAAATTGAGAAGAAAGCTCTGGCCATTCAATTGGATCCATCACACTTTTTAAATGAATGTTATGACTTCAAAAAAACACAGCAATAATTAAAACACAATTATCATTTATTCATGACATATAATATACATTGCTGATTATGAAAAAACAAATAAACGAAATTAGAAGCGTACAATCGCAAATCAAAAGTGCAATATTTTGTTCTTGGGATTACTCCCCTCGAAACGAAGCACCCGGGATACTGAACCCAGTCAGAGCGGGTGGGCGTGCACTTAAGTGTAACGAAGCCTTTCATTGGCTGGTTCATTTGCCGATACGCTCAGGCACTTTGTGTGAGTATCGCCATTTCTTGTAGTGTTATCACAATGTCATGTCGAGTTGTTGCCATATCCTATATCGTGTCTTGTCATCCCCACGTCGTGTCGTGATATCACTATTTCGATTTTGGCTGTATTGCTATATCGTGTCGCCATATCGCAATATCGTGTCGAACTATCGCCTTGTCAAGATATCGCTTAGATTTCTCAGGGCGATAAAGCGATGGCCCGAATCAGCCACTTTTGGCGGTCTTGTTTAAGAATTTAGGGAAACTTAGGAATTACGATTGATTGATTGGTTCATTGGTTGGTAGGTTAACGCCGCATTCAGCAGTATTCCAGCTATATGGCGGAATCAAGCATGTGCATCGACCTACACATTTGGGATACAATGACATGTGTCAACCAAGTCATCGATCCTGACTACCCGATCCCGTTAGTTGCCTCTTAGGACAAACATGGGTTACTGAAGACCAATTCTAACCCGGATCTTCACGTGTTTAAGACTTACGACCAAATCTCAATATATACCTTTGCCCTGACTAAACAAACTCCCCACAGATTTAAATTCCAGCGATGTGTCGTCACCTTTAAAAGCTCTACCGATAGGTGTCGACAGATAAAAGACGTCGCAGAACCGATAGTGAATCACACCCGCGACATACACCACGCTGCAACCACACATATCGAAGGGTTAGTCTCAGAACACATTAAGTAAATAATTCTGTCAAATTTAGGTAACAGTATTAAGGCACTCGCATACTGATATGTTACTCATACAAAAAAGCGCATAGCAATCAGGGGCTTAATTAGGTGGTTATGCATTAGAGTTCAAACAACTTATCGATTATCTCTCTTTTCAGTTTAGACCAGGTTGTGTTATATTAATTTACACCGTTCAGTCCTGCTCAACTGCTGTAGCCACGCTTGATATTCTCATGCCATAAACCCTTAACTGGCAGCAGTCGCCTCTGGCAGACTGTGTGGTGTCGGGCAAGAATTTCCCTTACCGGTTAATACAATTGATATGCTGAAGGAATTTTCTGGCTCTTTAGACTTACAGCTGATAAGGACCTCTCTCCGCAGTCAGATGGTCTTAATTACTGTTATTCTCTTGTGGCCATATATAAGCGTGCCTCTTCCAGCTGTTTACAAGGTTTGTTTCACACTAGCCACGGTTAGTATATTTTGAACCTTGGGAGAGGAGCTATTTGTGTGTTTGTATTTGGAAAATTTACAGTACGGAAATCCCGCTGAAACATCACAGGTAAGTCATATCTGTTAACAGTAAATAAGAACTTGTTAAATAATTCTTAAATATAATACACATGAGTGTGGTAATATACTTGTATTTCACTTTATAAGATTTGCTGTCAGTATAAAAGTTATTTGCCAGAACTAATTAAAACTGAAACTAATTTGCTTTGATTATTGATGAGTGTTATTGTTATCAAATTCAGTGTGTGATATTAGCCAGTCCCTTAGTTTAGTACTCTGGTTTAAGGTCTATGCAAGATGTCTGAATTATGGTCCGACGCAGATGAAGATGAATTATTACAATCTAACGTTGCCACGGATACAAGTTGGTCACTTGCCACTAATAAGTCAGTCAATTCTGATTATATTCAACATGAACCAAACCCATGTGGGGAGTGGCTGGATACCCCAGCACAATCGGATACACTATTGGATATGCCAATACAATATGACGCAAATGAGGTAGAGGATGAGTCAGTGGATATACCAGCACCAGTTCATACCACTGAGGATAATCAAGCGCAGTTTGTATCAATACACCGTGATGTGCCTCTTGATTTACAAAGAAAGATGGATACAACGCCCAGACATTTACCACAACAGTGTGCAATACCAGTACAGAGTGATGCGCCTGCAGACATACTAGTACAGAGTGATGATACTACAGACACAATAGTACAGAGTGATGAACATATAGACATACAAGAACAGTCTGATGCGCCTATAGACTTGCCAGAACAGAGTGATGCGCCTATAGACATACCAGTACAGACTGATGGGCCTATAGACATACCAGTACAGACTGATGGGCCTATAGACATACCAGTACAGACTGATGGGCCTATAGACATACCGGTATAGACTGATGCGCCTATAGACATACCGGAACAGACTGATGCGCCTATAGACATACCAGTACAGACTGATGGGCCTATAGACATACCAGTACAGACTGATGGGCCTATAGACATACCGGAACAGACTGATGCGCCTATAGACATACCGGAACAGACTGATGCGCCTATAGACATACCAGTACAGACTGATGGGCCTATAGACATACCAGTACAGACTGATGCGCCTGTAGACATACCAGTACAGACTGATGGGCCTATAGACATACGAGTACAGACTGATGCGCCTATAGACATACCGGAACAGACTGATGAGCCTATGGCCATACCAGTACAGACTGATGCACCTATAGACATACCAGTACAGACTGATGAGCCTATGGACATACCCGAACAGAGTGATGAGCTTGCAGACATACCAGTACAGAGATATGCACCTATATACATACCAGTACAGACTGATGGGCCTATAGACATACCAGTACAGACTGATGGGAATATATACATACCAGTACAGACTGATGCGCCTATAGACATACCAGTACAGACTGATGGCGCCTATAGACATACCAGTACAGACTGATGCGCCTATAGACATATCAATACAGATTGATGCGCCTATAGACATACCAGAACAGAGTGATGGGCCTATAGACATACCAGTACAGACTGATGGGCCTATTGTCCTTTCCGAAAACTAGGTTACGTCCCTTTGTTACCCAAGGGGAGTTAACTCAGACGTCATTTCCTGGGCCTACGAAATCCAAAATGGCAGACATCGCGATATCATCTTCGCTCGAAATTAACCAGGATCTATCAATCTATACCGTCAATCAGTTAAAGAAATATTTATCCAGCCGGCGACAAAATGTCTCCGGAAGGAAGCAGGACCTTATAAGAAGAATACAAGGGTCTTTTAGGCTGAACATTCCGACTACTTCAACCCTTGCGCAGTTCGACCAACTTGACAGTGAGAGATGCGAGATTGACAGGTGGGTTGAATTTGTTTATATGTCCATGTTATGACATTTTTTGTCCCAAAGTGTTTTGTTCAGTAAATCCTGTTTAGACATATTGGGGATGTACCCATTTAGATCGAAATAAGCAGAAATAAATGTTCAATAACCACTGAGAATCATTCATTTAATCATTATTATGGTTATCTTTATTACTATCGCAATCTTGTGAAATACGATAGCCGTGGCAAATGTTATGAGTGGGTTTAATAAACAATTTATAGGTTAAAATCTATATACGGCCCCTACATCGTTTGTATATGTTCGAAAGGCTCATCAATAATTATAAACCACAGACAAACATTATAATTATTTTGGAATATCAAGACAGATTTCAAGCGGTTATCTTGTATGTTCATCACTATTGAAACCTTATAAAATAAGATAGTCATGACAAATGTTATTATGAGTAGGTTTAATAAACATTATATAGGTTAAAGTCTATATACAGCCCCTACATCGTTTGAATATACCAGTATTCGAAATGCTCAATTATATGATGGATATCTATGTACAAAATATACAAATACGTCATAGTGCTGTTGATGACTTGGATAGTCACGGTTCTAAACAATAATGAATGTTCATAAATATCATTGTTATAGTGTTTCTTGGAACTTGCCTAAATTACATTTTTATTTGTCAGATAAGAGTTTATGTTGTTGATGTACCTCTAATATGGACCCTTAAACATTTTCACCTAGGTTCACGGTCTCTTCTGGCAAGAAAGTTCCTCCTCCACTCGCCTTGTTTGGTTGGACAACAGATTACAACAATCTTCCAGATGTAATGGAAAAAGACATATACAATTATGTTGTATTGAAGAAGAATTCCAAGCGACAACTAAAATCCAAGGGATTTTATAACGATGGTCATGTTCATAAAGTAGAGGTAAATTAAACTATTTCGCCATCACTAAGCGTACTATCACTGACTTCAATACGTTTTCAGATAATTTGATCATTCATGAAACACAAATCTGTTCAGCATATATTTTCAGTCACCCCTTTTTAAAACCTTGTGGTGTATTTGTCCATATGTCAGTAAGTAGCAGAAACTTTTTGTGGTCAATGTTGTATGATCGACTATGTTTTCACCCTCTGAATCTGTAATATTTACAGGTCCATCCTATTGATGACAGCAGCAGCCACATGTACATAAGCGCTTTGGTGTTACCATCATTTCCATCAGCAGACCATTAGAAATCGCCTGACTACAGACCATGGATACTGCTGTCAAAAGTTACTGGATGCATTCATTCAGCTTATTGTACCTGCCCAGCTGGGTATGTATTAGATGATTGTTTGAGAATTCATTAATTGTTGAATTTTTGTTCTATTTACCCCTTTTACTTCATCATTTTACCAGTTTCATATTTGTATTGACACTTTTATAACCTAATAATCATGCCAATACCCGAGTAGTAGGGAACCTGGTTACAGTGTGATTGGAGTCTTTGTGAATTTTGCGACAGAAACTTTATGATTTCTGACAGAGTCTTTGTGATTTTAGCAACTGCAGGGCGAGGGTGCAATAAATGTCCCGTATACATCCAAAATCAACTGTATGAGGGAATTTTAATTTCACGTTTACCTCAATGCTATGTTCCTTTAGGAACGAATATAGTGATGTTACTCTGAAAACCCTTGATAATAATGTAAAGTCATAAATTGTCAAGATTTTCATACTATTTTATAATTAATTATCATTTTAAAGAAAGTACTGTAAACACTTTAATTGATATAGAGACTAGAGATTGGGATATTTAAAACTGCAGTAAGATGCACTGTTGGCACATTGTTAGACATTAAGTTCTATGAGTTTGCTGTTGTATTTTTTAAAATGAGATCTTTGTTTTTTCTTATGTTAGCAGGTGATGTTGCCGCTGGATATTCTTGTTTGTTGATGGTTCCAAGTACTTGTACTAATCTACATACATGTACGTTCATGATGTTGGTCAGTGTTTGTATTCAGTTCTTGTTTGTTTTTGTTTTAAATGTTGGAGTTTTTGAAATATGCCGCAGTGGCGCATTCAACAGAAGAATAACATTCAGTAAATTGTCTTGACATTGTTCAAGTCATTGCAACTTATTGTTCATTTGAATGTTTTCCTTTAATTTAAAGTTATCTGAATAGTTTTTTCAATAAAGAAGATGATAGTTCCATGAAATTTTCAATTGACTGTAATTTATGATTGCAGGGAAGGAGAATGCTGCAATCATATTGGAGCACTACTGTTTGGGATTGCAGACCTTACCGAAAGAAGAATGAATGGCTGCTTAGCTTCGACTTCAAGAAAGTGCCTTTGCAGTGACTACAGTATGTCAGCACCCAGAAAAAGGAGATTGAGCCCCAAAAGGTCAGAAGAATTGGTGTATACGAAAAACACCCTCCTCCATTCAACCAGGAAACTGCATGTTGAAAAGAACAGTGACCACAACAAGAACAAAGGGTGCACAGTTGACATTGAGACTTGAAGAGAAGAAACTGAATGTAGGATGGCTGAAGAATTTCCCATCAGATTCCTCTACGCATGAGCCTGAATTTCCTGTATTGCACGACATTAGGTTTCTTTTCATGGATAATGTGGATCTGAGTAGCAGCATGTGCAAGGACGTGTTTGATGCTCATTTCAAATCTCTGTCACAAACTGAGGAGGATGTACACATAACAGAGGTGTTAACAAGAGGACAGGATTCACACAACTGGAAGCAAGCCAGGAAAGAACGGATCACCTCCTCACATTTTGGCACTGTTTGTAAGCGAAAGGATGACACCCCTCCTGATGTATTCAGAGTTCACAAGTACATTCACAGAATATGGAAATAAGCATGAGAAGGCTGCAAGAAAGATGTATGGGAAACAAATGCAGAAGGAACACAAGGGATTACAGGTGAAGGAAAGTGGACTATTTGTTAGTAAAGATTCACCATTTCTTGGAAGCAGCCCAGATGGACTTGTTTACTGTTCACACTGTGAGGATACTGTTGGCCTGCTGGAGATTAAATGCCCAGCTTCTATGAAATGGAGAATGAAGACACAAGAGGACTGTTGTGATGACAAGGATTTTTACTGTCACCTTCAAGATGGAAATGTAAACTTGAAGAGGAGCCATAAATATTATTTTCAAGTGCAAGGACAGATGGGGGTAACAGGGAAGAGATGGTGTGATTTTGTGGTATGGACTTGTGTGGGGCTCAACATTGAGAGAATTCCTTTTGACAAAGAAATGTGGAATGACATGTATGTGAAACTTGAAAACTTCTACATTAATTATTTCATTTCAGAACTGTTCTCTCGGCGTATTGAAAGGGGTCTGAAGCTATATACGCAATGAAGTTGCATTCTCATAGTGTACCAGACCAAGAACATATATTGACTTTGTATGAATAATGTGAGTGTAAAGTGTTATATTATCATAATAATTATAAAAAAATAAGAATAACGTCAAACATAACAGACTAGAGTCATTGTTTTCAGTTGAAAAGAAGAAACTGTCTGGCGATGTCTTGGTATACTTCCAATCAGTGTCTTTATTGTAGCCCTTGGAATTCCATGCCATGGCTTCTACAAATAAGCAAGCTGGGGGGTGGGGTGGGGGTGTTGTTGTTGAGGAGCAGGAGCATTTTCGTTTTGTATACCTCTAAACTACCATTTATCTATTTTTAGACTAAACTAGTGTCTTTACAATTTTATTTGCAATTTGAGACATGTATCCACAAACTATGGATATAATAGAAACTTGGTCAGATCAATGTACACTTTGCATTTCTGTTCATCAATATAAGAAGAACATTAATGACAATTCTGATATGGATTTAATCTGTTCAAAATGTGACAATAATGTTACAGAAAATAAATACCATGTTTTCTTAATACCTTCTGAAAATATTTAGCGTAAGATCTTCATAATGTAATTGTGGTAAAGTCAGGGCTCCAGATAAGGATACACACCACAGCAATGGTGTAGGGTCTTAGAATCATTTATAGACATATTTATCTGAAAAAGTATTGTTTTATTGTTTATTGACCTGTTTACACAAGACTAGCAATGTTGTGGTGCATATATGAAACGAAACACAAGATTACTGTCTGATACTCCATTAAAGTCCATTCAGTACTCTAAATGTCCTGTTAAGGTTATCCAGTACTTTTATATTGACAAAATAAGGAGTACATACTCCTGATGTTGAAAAATTATCTGGAGCCCTGGGTAAAGTGACAACTATTGTACATTTTTAACAACTGTACCATGGGCCATGTGGCCTAAAATATGAAATAAACATGATTGATTGTCTTTACATTCAATGTGACTAGCGTTCTATGTAGTCAATATACTACATTGACAGTGTTTGACCTAGGCATAAAAGTTTAGGAGTCATCATGACTCCCTGGTGTCATGAGAGAGAGTCATGGACCTGTTTTTGGGAGTCAACTTCAGTTTTGGAAGTTTCATCAAGACAATAACTGTGATTGTTTAATAATGACAACAAAAACAAGGTAAGGCAGGTCAGGTATTAAATCAGCACCGTGTCAAATAGGTTTTCTGCATCATGGCAAATACTGTCTTGAAACAAGCTAAATAATTGTCAACCACAGTTCATTTACTAATCTGAATATTGGACTAGTGGAGGCCACAAGTTTGTTAGATAGGTGCAAATTTTAAACAATTTTGAAATTCATCTGGCTTGAGAGATGGGGATGTTTCCTTGAAGAATTCTGAAGTTCTTTATTCTTTCTATCTGTCTCTCTACATGTATCCGCAGATGGACAATATCCTTTGTAAAGCTAACTTCACGTTTTGTGAACTGTTTTCCTTTTCTCTTAAAAGGAGGAATTATTAGTTCTATACCTCTGGGAGTAGTTAGGTCTGATATTGTGAAGCCTTTGTCTGCCATTATTGCATCACTTTCCTCCAAAATATCCAAAAGACCACGTTCTTGAGTAATTCTTTTGTCGCTAGTGGATCCCACGCAACAGTCAGATACAAATGTAACGATGCCGTTAGGACTAATGCCTACAAGAGCTTTGTGAGTCATGTGTGACAAGTGCTGGAAGTCTCACTATACAATTCTGTACAGTCAATAATTATTCTTGTATTTGGGAACTTTTCTCGAAAACCTCTTGGCATGTTATGCTAAATTGTCTCACCTGAAGGCGACTGAACAAAATATGGCAATTGCACCACTAAGCAATTAACCCATCTTTCAATAATTTCACTACACTGTGAAGTTGATATACAAAATCTGAAGCTTAGATCTTCAAGGAGAAGTCCTAAACGAAGTCTCATTAAAACCATGAAAAATTCATTCAAAACGCTCAAAGTTTTTGGTCTGCCTGCAGATGATGATGTGTAGTCGAGCTTTCGACTGAAGTTCTAGCTTCCGCTTCCTCCTTGATTTCATCAAACACAGCTTCAAACACTTCTCGGCATGGAATGCCGGTGTAGAAGCTCACCAGATCATCACTTTGTTTGATGTCATCAAAGGTAAGAAGTGGAAGCTTGCACTGCACGCAAAAATCATGCATACATGTATCTGTTTGTGTGCTAGCATGTGCAAACTTCTTAACATAACTCTCATCTGTTTGAGCCTCTGATGTAATAGTACTGTGCTCTGTCTGGGTATCCATGCATCTGAAAGGCAAAAGAGGACGTGTCAATGCAAAAAATGGGTTGGCAAGATAGCAGAATAAATTAATTTTACACACAGTAAGAGACAAGCAACCCAATGGCAAAACTAATATTCTTTATACAAAATCAAAGTTGTAAATCATATTAAAGGGAATGACAAAATGTGTTATTTGATTAGTTTACCACAACCTTATTTGTTATGCTCACCTTGTTTTTGAGTTTGGTTGTGTCGGCTGCGTTGGATGACAGTAATCATGGAGATGTAAAGAAACATCCAGTGGGTGTCAGTCATGATTGAGAAGCAGACTTGTGCTGTTGTCTCTCTCGATGTCTTCACTGACCCCAGTCATCTCTATGTCCTCGCATGCTTCTGTCATCTGGTTTTCATCCAGTTTCTAGAAATTAAATTAGAAATATATCATACCACAAATTTGAGAATTATGATATGATCTATAATTACTTCATTATCCTGGAAGGAATTATTTGTATGTCAAAATCAGTCTCATAATGGTTACATACACAATATACAAAAAATACACACTACACAACCATTTAGGGTAGAGATGATATTCAAAGGGTAAAGATACACAATGTAAAGGCATCATGAGAAAAACAATGTAAAAGTACTAAAACTTGTCTTTACTGCAGTACATTCTTATGGTTTTTCAGTATCATTCATTGTCACTGATGAAAGAATATGAATATGAACTTGAATTTTCCTCCATAATTTTACCAACAGAAGATTACTCATTCATCAAAACACAAATTTCAAGCATGGAAATATTTCATTTCAATAACTGGTCGTCAAGCACTGTACTGTACACAGCATGATTATGAATATTATTCTCATTCATGTGTATATAGTAAGCAATCACATTTTCCCGATTCCTTTGGTATAGAAAGCTAGGAATACATACCCATGTGGGAAATTCCTTAGTAGATCCACTTTGAGTTGGTAACAACGACGGAAGGGTGGATTGCGGGGTTGGACCGCTAAACTCCAGGAAATGCTCACTGCATAGGCGTTTATGATTATTCCACTTGAACGTCCTCATAACTGTCTTGCAACGCTGGATCCACACCCGTTTTAGACGCGTATTCTGTGGAAATCGATGCAGTGATATTGTCCTCCCATCTATCACCTTTCCCCGGTAAGTCCCTTTACATACGCAGCAGTACTTCTTATATTTCCTCTCCGATTCGATGTTCAAACAATCCGCCATGATTGCGCCCCGGAGGCGAGCACCGCGAAGCTGCACTTGCGCACAAGGCGCACATCCAAGGGCGGACAACTCAGTTTTCGGAAAGGGCAAAAGACATACCAGTACAGACTGATGCGCCTGTAGACATACCAGTACAGACTGATGCGCCTATAGACATACCAGTACAGACTGATGGGCCTATAGACATACCAGTACAGACTGATGCGCCTATAGACATACCAGATCAGAGTGATGCGCCTATAGACATACAAGTACAGACTGCTAGGCCTATCGACATACCTGAACGGACAAATGCGCCTATAGACATACCAGTAGCCTCATGCCCCTATAGACATACCAGTACAGATTGATGCGCCTATAGACATACCAGTACAGACTGATACGCCTACAGACTCATTAGCACAGTGTTATGGGCGCGGAGGAACATCATCTCTGAGGGATAGTGACAGTGACTTTGACAGTTCTGATAATGAACTATTGCCAACATTAAGGAGTAGAAAAGGACTGCTCTCTGACAACGACCCAGCATCATGAGAATGTCAAGTCACAAGAATAAAAATGCGAAATTTCTCAGTTCAATATCGTGTATGGCCGCCCCGCGCATTCACCTCTGCCAAACACCGTCTCCTCATCGACTGCCTGATGCTTGTGAACACGTGGTTGGGGATTCTGCGCCATTGCTCTTGCAAGGCAGCGCCAAGTTCCTGCAAATTCTGAGGTTGGTTCCTAAGACCACGAAGCCTTCTCTCAAGTGCATCCCAAACGTGCTCTATTGGATTAAGGTCAGGGGACCTCGATGGCCAGTCCATGACGTTGATTCCAGCGTTTTGAAGGAAATTTCGTGTCATTATCGCGGTATGCGGCCGAGCATTATCATGCTGGAACCTGGGCCATGAGCCGCCATGAAA